CGCTTGCCTCCGAACTCACTTACCAATGCCGGGGCCAGATTCACTTATATATGATGGGGGTCGAGTTCATTCATCAATGTCGGGGCCACATTCACTTATATATGACGGGGTCGAGTTCATTTAACGATGTCGGGGATAAATTCATTTATCTAAGCCAGAGCCGAAGTCACTTATCTATGTTGGGAGCTACCGCGGCTTATTCATCCACGCCGCGATCGATCGTCTATTTGCGGCGTCATTATTTTTCTCGTCGTGGAGCCACAGCTCCGGCTGAGTCGACGTCCATATTTTCTCGCCGTCGAGCACCGACTCCGGCTGAGTCGACGTCCATATTTTCTCGCCGTTGAGCACCGACTCCGGCTGAGCCGACGTCCATATTTTCTCGCTGTTGAGCACCGACTCCGGCTGAGTCGACGTCCATATTTTCTTGCCGTTGAGCACCGACTCCGGCTGAGCCGACGTCCACATTTTCTCGCCGTTGAGCATCGACTCCGGCTGAGCCGACGTCCACATTCTCTCGCCGTTGAGCATCGACTCCGGCTGAGTCGACGTCCATATTTTCTCGCTGTTGAGCACCGACTCCGGCTGAGCCGACGTCCCCATTCTCTCGCCGTTGAGCACCGACTCCGGCTGAGCCGACGTCCACATTTTCTCGCTGTTGAGCACCGACTCCGGCTGAGCCGACGTCCATATTTTCTCGCCGTAGAGTTTCGACTCCGGCTGAGTTGACGTCTATATTCCCTCGCCGTTGAGCCCGACTCCGGCTGAGCCGACGTCCATATTTTCTCGCCGTCGAGCACCGACTCTGGCTGAGTCGACATCCACATTCTCTCGCCGTTGAGCACCGACTCCGGCTGAGCCGACGTCCATATTTTCTCGCTGTTGAGCACCGACTCCGGCTGAGCCGACGTTTCCATTCTCTCGCCGTTGAGCACCGACTCCGGCTGAGCCGACGTCCACATTTTCTCGCCGTTGAGCACCGTCTCCGGCTGAGCCGACGTCCATATTTTCTCGCCGTAGAGTTTCGACTCTGGCTGAGTTGACGTCTATATTCCCTCGCCGTTGAGCCCGACTCCGGCCGAGACGACTTGTGTCCATTCTTACACCAAATCCTGAAGTTGATTTGGTATGACAAACACTCATTCTTACGCCAAATCCCGAAGTTGATTTGGTACGACCGAAATGCCCTAAAACTACAAATGCCCCACAGGGCCAATCATAAAATCAATCAATAACCATGTAAAAATAAGACTAAAGACCGGATACTGAATAATCCGACCAAGTCCACCTTACACAAAAAACAACCACAAAAATCAAAAAATCGTGTCATCTCAATACGACAAAACAACGAATACGATAATACGGTTAACTTAAAATCGTTAACGAATCATATCGTCAAACATCTTCGCATACATAGATTACAACTCACGGGGCCCGAATGCCCGCACAATTCCATATCGTTATCATCAACACAAGAGCAAATAAATCAAACGTTTAATATCGCGCGCAAAACGTAATATGGGTACCAAATTACCCGACTAGGCCTCTTAGGCCCCATTCAATAGCAATTCTGAATAATTGTCCATCCATGTCACCGACTTAGCTCATCCAAGTGCATAAAACGCGACTAACATACAAGATGGCAAGTCCATGCCTGAAAATGATCAAACTGATGGTTGAGGGTCCCAAAGCACCCAGAAATTATATATCGAAACATATTCATCCGAAGATCTCTATAAGAAAAAGACATGGTATTATAATCTTATGTATTGCATGAATGCTATCTATCTCAGCATGAAGAGTCTCAAGCTCGAAAAATTATAGCACAAGTCTGCCAAATCGTATTAAAACTCGACTTCAGGACAGTTTTGTTCAGAACATGTCCTAAAGTCGGGGGCCTCTTGTTGATACACAATTTGGCCTCGATTAATAAAAAGACGACACGCGGATATGTATTAGATAAATATAAATATAATAGGTTTTTGAGCTGATTATTTAATATCAACCGAGTTCCGAAAAGTCCAGACCGTCCACGTTCGAGTCAAGCAGAATTAAATATCGTCAACCCGACCCGAATATCGAGAAGATTCATCTTCGGTAGACACAATAATTGCCGATAAAGTAGACGTCACTCGAAGCCGTCAAGTGTCACGATCGGGCCCCACGATGTCATCTCACATTAATTACTCATGCCCCCTTTTATTTATTTTTTAATGAGCCACTTGTAAAGGGCCATGTATATATAATGGAGAGAGGAGAGAGAAAAGGGGGGGACACTATTCCTCCATCTTCAACAACACATAAAACGAAGAACAATTAGGGGATCTTCATCTTCAAAACATCTAATAAAATTGCATACTTATCCAACACCGATTATTCCCAGAATAGGGGTGTATATTTTCGTTGATACAAATCCGTTTATCAACAAAGTCATAAGTTATAAACTATAAGCTAAAAATTACTGATAATCTATAAGCTAGCTTGTCAGCTAGTTTTACCAAACATATTCTCAATCAGTTTTAACCAATTATTTATTTTTTCTTATTTTTTATTTTCATAAAACTCAAAGTTTAATTCACAATGTCACTCAAACCTAACGTAACAAACTTTTTAAAATTAATCCTCATTAACAAAAAAAAAAAAAAACAAAATAATCAAAACAAAAATATCCAATGATCAAAAACTTATATCAAGCAATTAGTCTATTTCCATAATGTGCTGACGCCACCCAAATCCGCCAACGGCTCCAATGGAGCCGACTCCCAATGCCAGGATATAGTCGCGCTCGCGCCTCAGTTAACTTCTCTCACTGAAATTTCAAAAAGCAATAAAATAAAGGAAAATGATACGGCCCCGTTAGAGCACCCACAATGCTTTATGTCTATTAGAAAAAAATCACATGTCATTTAGGAAGTAGACTTAGTCTATAAAAAATGTTTCACAATGCAATTAAAAGTGGTAGTCTAACTTATGTAGCACTAGAAAAAAGAGATCAAGTCCACACTGGGTCTATTTTGGACCCAAGTCAAACTCAACTAGTCATTAATTGTTCACAATTTTTTTTTTCTTTTTAATAGGCAAAACATATTTTTTTTGTATGCATTTATTATTACTATATTTTTATTGGTTGTTTAGTACTCCAGGTGCATGTTTGCTTGCTGGGATGGAATTGGACTAAAATAGTGCAATGATATAGGATTGTACTGTTTGGACTAATATTATTCTATGTTTGGTACATAGGATACAGATTAGGATAACTTTATTTTTAAAAAAGATAAAAAAGTGTTTATATGAAACATAATGGGGTAAATTACTTTATTACCCATGTGAATAAATCGGTTACAAAACTGAGGTTTTTCCCTAAACTCTCTCCGCATTTGTGTTCTTCATTTTGTCGAGCACTTTCAAACTCGTGCTCTCAAATCCCAGCAGCTTAGCCCCAATAAACAGTCTCAATTTCACGCACACAAGCCACCGTCCATTCTCACCGGAGCCACGCCGATAAAATCTCTGCGAAGCAGCTTTCATATGTTCTTTAGCAGAGTCTGAATGAAAACGGGTTAACAAAATTGGAATTTTAGCCCAATCTCCTCAGAAACTCTCATCCGATGTGTTATTCTCATTTCTTCGACCAACTGAGGAAAATAAGAAAGGATTTTTTTGTAACGGCATTTGATAGCAATAAAAACTTTCAAATTAATACACAGAAAATTATAAACTTTCATGGGAAGAACACATTCACAGGGGCTATAATTCGGAACGCACAAAACTCAGTTTCTCTCAAAAACAGGCAATCGCACGCATCAACGCCGAGCTCCTCCGACGAGGGCTGGCAGGTCTGGCTGTTACTATTAAGGAGTTCATGTGTGGGCTCAAAACACTTTCACACCATTGATATCAAAATTTTAAAATTAATGCCGATAATTACCTTTTGCAGATGTCAGATTTCGAGGTGGAAAATTTTGATAGCGGACAACGGACGATAATTACCCCAGATCGATCGTTGCCGAGGGAGATGAAGCTGGAGTGCGGTTTCTGTTCTGGGCTAGGGCAGTTTTAGATTTATGCTCGCGACGATGTGAGATGATTAATGGGAAAACTGACTAAGGTCTAGTTGTAATTTATGTTACAGGGAAGGTCAAAACAGTCCGAAAATTATTAAAATGAGGGTAATTTCGACTTTAGCTTCTCAGGATTAGATTAATCCCATGTAAAAGGAGGGATTCAATTATCCTGAATTCATGGGATAACTCATATTTTTATACCGGGCCAACTCAATCCCGCGGGCCTTAATACAGTGAACCAAACATAGGATTAGGCCAGGATTGAACGGGATATCCTGCCTAATCCTACAAAACAAACAAGGGCTAGACCTAGTACTTTTTTTGTTTTGCATTGGATACATTTTGGATTTTTTAGCTTTGGTTTGTCCATGTCATTATGGACTTAAGTCTATTTATTTGACACATATGCAAAAAAAACCCAAAGCATTGTGGGTGCTCTTACGGAACCATTCTATCGAAGTTTGTAACTATTAGATTATCATATAACTGTCGGAGATAATTGATGGTTACGTACAAAACTCGATAGAATGGTTACATAACGGGACCGTAACATTTCCCTAAAATAAAATTGAAAGGACAATATGTTACCGGCACAACCGATGGACCACCAATGCATTCACTGCATTTGCCTTGAATTTGGGGCTCATTTCATTTTGCGACAAAAAAAACAAAGACCCAAAACTCAACCAAATTGCAAACACAATTTGCCCTAACCCAGTCAGATTCCAACCATGCATCACACCCCAGTTGCCTTTATTTAAAGTGACTGATAATTTCTTATTCAAGCCCCGCTGGGTACTATCCCCCACCCACCCTTTAAAAAATCATTTTTTTTTTTTTTTTTTTTTCTTAATCTTTTGTATGATTCTTGAATTAGACTGCAAAGTTTCTTCTGTTTTTGGGCTCGCTTGATTGATACAAACAAGCGGGTTAGAAATGAAGAGACTCAGCAATTCTGATTCCCTTGTTGGTCAAAATAAGGGAGAAAACAGTAATCCCATGTACGCAAGTGATTTTCAGAGCACGATGTTATTGCGAGATCTGGACGAGGACGGATGTCGGCAGTTTTCGGAGAAAAAAAGGCGGCTGGGCGTCGGCCAAGTCAAGGCTCTGGAACACTACTTCGAGGCGGAGAATAAGCTGGAGCCCGAGAGGAAACTGAGGCTGGCCCGAGAGCTCGGGCTGCAGCCCAGACAGGTGGCCGTGTGGTTCCAAAACCGCCGCGCGCGGTGGAAAACGAAGCAGTTGGAGAAGGATTACGGCCTGCTCATGGCCAATCACGATGCTCTCAAGCAAAAGTATGAGTCTCTGCAAAAGGAGAATCAGTCTTTAATCAATGAGGTTATCATTGTTTTATTTATTTATTTTATTTGTTGGTGTTTATATGTTTAATTGTTTGTTTGGCAAGAAAAGGGAGATTTTACAGTCATTCCGTTGGATTTTTGTAACCGTTAGATCAACTATTTACGACGGTTACTGATGATCTAACGGTTATAAAATCTCTACAGAATGATTCCGTAACGAGATTGTAGCATTTCCCATCAAGAAAATTCGTATATTTCCCAAGGGTGTGTTATTCAATGGTGTGTAAAGTTGAAATTGATTTTTTTCTCAATGTCATTAAATATGCACCGGAAAAAGGATTCAGATGCAAATATACCCTAAATGTGGTAGTAAAGGTTCAATTGAAACTTTAATAAAAGTACAGAATGACCCTATTTGTGTCTGAAATCCAAGATTCAGGGGATGTTTGGAGCCCAATCTTTTGGGACTTAATTTAATTTTCATAAACAGAAAACTGATCAACTGCTAAATTATTTATTAGTTGGCCTAAAATAGTTTATTGTTTTATCTTGTTTTGTGTTTGTGCTGCAGATTAATGAGCTGAAATCACAGCTGAACAGTGATGATGATGAAGGCGAAATCTGCATCAAACAAGAGCCTCTGGCGTCGACTGATGCCGAAATAGAAGGCTGTCCTGAAGAAATTCATTTGAGTTCTCTTGCTAAAAAATGTGATGATCATGAGGCTGAAAATTTTGGGATGAATGAGAAAGAAATCATAATTGGGTACTCCTCGTCCTTTTGCAACAACCCGAAAGATGGATCCTCCGATGAGAGCGATTCGAGTGCAATCTTGAATAGTGAGGATTATATCAATAGCCCGCGTGAGTGCAGTTTTCTCGAGACGAACTTCCAGTTTTCGGATTTTTCGGGTAATAATATTGGAGGTGATATTGATGATGATCAAGCCAGGCATGACAAAGGGGATCGTGACGAGTTGCAGTTTGTGAAGATTGAGGAGCACGACTTTTTCGATGAGGAGTCGTGTAGTGGATTGTTTTCGGGCGATCAAGCTCCCACGATCCACTGGTACTCGTCCCACGACTGGAATATAGAATGACCGGAAATTCGTGCGAGAATCTGTATTATAATGGAATCCAAGTGTTGCAGTTAAAAATATCCTCTATATGATTCACAACATTTAACTCTTCTTATGGTCACATTGCAATCTGAAATTTTCTACTTTCTTTGAATAATATATGGAGTGAAGAACAAAGAGAAAAACAGAGGATTTAATTCTTGTCGAACCAAGACCTCACTCTATTTTTGTAATGTATATTATGACTTGTCTTTGGCAAATTAGCAATATATTTTTTAGGGAGATTCTACGGTCCCATTACGGTACCATTCCGTCGGAGTTTGTAACCGTTAGATCAACTATCTAGGATGATTACATGATGATCTAACAGTTACAGATTCCGACGGAATGGTTCCGTAACGTAACGGGACAGTATAGCAATAGCATTTCCTTTTTTTGATAGGTCAGCACGTGGACTCTGCTTGCATAAATAGACCAAGCAGGTTTGTTTGATGGAATAAAACCACATGAAAGATAAACGATAGGTTCCCTACTTTTCATTTTTTTCTCAAAAGCACCCTTATCATATATGGGCTACATGTTTTATGGGTTAAAAACTAGTGTGGTCCCTATATCAAAAGTGGGCCTCTGTTGCTTCTCTAAAATATTCGGAGGGCCTAGATCACTAGGTGGGAACATGTGACGTGTTCTCCACAAAATAAATAAATTTGAAGTATTTTTTTTATTGATAAATATAAATTTATAGATAAAAAAACTGGAATTCAAATGACCGACAAACGACATATAAAAGTGCAGTGGACAACCACAAGCTCAGGTTTTCACTCACGAATAATAAATTTAAGAGGGCAACCACAAGTCGGTTGCTCACTCAGGTCCCAAAATAAGAGAGAAAGACAACCATCAAGTTTTTCAAGGATGGACATGTCTATACTCCAAGGACTTTTTTCTCATATTCGGCAAACACGTTCAGATATATACAACGCAAAAATTATACGATAAACATGAATTTCGATCTTACGGATTACTTGGCTCGGAGGTGATTCATTTTAAAAAATCAACTTATTTCTCGCATTCCAAAATGGAGTACACGGTAGTCGCGAGCGCCGCTTTATTTAACTTGGTTTGTCAACTAACCCCTCGTGCCTCCTTCCTAGTCCATTTAAGAGCTCCTTTGAGTGTCACAAGGTCTATGACGGAGGCTAACCCAATCATGAATCACTCCCTAAATTTTCGAGCTAAAGGAGCATTCAAAAAATTGATGACCCGATGATTCTACAACGCCTTCACAGAGAGAGCAAGTCGGGTCTTCATCAAGGAACTCTAACCGGTCTTTTGTTCGGTGTATTGCAAGGGCCCCAAACCACCACGTACCTTCCATGGCACCAATGTACCGCGAGTCCTTAATAAATCATAGCAACTTGTCAACCCCTCTTGTTTACATTGTGAACTCCAACGATGAAGTAGAGCTTTCGCAGCTTTCTCATTTCCCGCTTTGTCAACTAAAGCCCGTCGGATCTCGAAGAGATATTTGAAAAGAGGCGAGTAATGATTGTGAAAAGGAAAAACAATAAAGGCAGAGAACTTCGGTCGTGGGCTAGAACCTACATCGATGCCTTTTTGGTAGCTGAGAACTGGATAGGATCAATGACGATTTCTAGTCTCTCTTCTCTTTAGGATTTCATATTTTGGGATGAGATTTAGAGTTTCTGTTCCAATCCCCCTATATATTAATTCAGAACGCGCTGAGCCTACGTGACTGCTTCTGGTGTTTCGGAATCATATGTGGCAAAATTACATGCTTCGTTAAAAGGCTTGGGTAAATTTTAATTTAATTCTAAACAAAAATAATTAGATTCGGATTACCATAAATATGTTGATTATTTATGGTCATGTTACATGTATTAATTGCATTTTAATATCATTCCTTATTATAACTATTGAATTGTATATATATTTTAAAAGTTAACAACTTTTGTTTTTTTTTTTTATCAGTTTATCATATGTAATATATCAAATTAATCTTCTTTTGATGAGCTTCGATTTAACATCCTTATTGTATGTATAAAAAATAATTTATATTTATCTTTATAACAGTAATAAAATTATTTTTAATATTAATTAAAAAAATAAAATTATTTATCAACTAATATGTTTATATTTCAAGTAGTTATATGATATAAGTTATAAAAACTAATAAAATATAACACATGTAAGTCATAAGTAACACATATCATTCTAAAATATATGGTAATATATATATTTTTTTTTTTGTAAAAAAGTAAACTAAATTTAATATAGTTTTTTTATTAATTTTAAAATTTAAAAATAATTTTTTAACAAGCACCCGTGTAATACACGAGTGTTGTACTAGTTTTCGTTATATTAGAGAACTTCAAATTGAAGCTTAGTTTTAGATCTTCGGATCTCATTTTGTCATTCGATTGAGACCGATTTTGTATGTTGATTTTGTTGCGGTAGTTATCTGGCTATATTCATTTGTTTTTTATTTTTGTATTATTGTTAGCCTCCGTTATTGGAATGTCTTGTTTATGGAGTGTTTTAGTTTTTAGCTTGTTTGATATTTTGCAATAGTTGTCACATCAAACATTAATTTTTATAAAACCATTATACTCATTCTAAGGTCCAAAAGAATATTATAGAATTATTCTATTTCACATCAATTTTCACAACTTCTCAACATTACTCGCATAATTTATAATTTTACAATTTAGTCTCGCTATTATTTAAAATAAATTGAGAATACATTTAATAAAGTAATTCATACATATAAAAGATGGGACAAATAAATATTCATTAGAGAACAAAAAATCCACTCCAAGACCTAATGATATATATCAAATGCACATAAAAGAATTATCCGCATAAGTAATAAGTAGGGCTGAACATGAGTTAGGACGGTTCGGAGATCCATAAATTCTTGAAATCATCCAAAAATTCAGGATCTCCAAAATTAGATCTACGGAATTGAACGGGTGAGACGAAATCTCCAAATCAAACCTATTTTTCGGTTTGCATTTTTGGGTTAACTGGGAGGTTCAGTACATAATGGAGGTTTCAGAGATTTTTTTTTTTTTTCTTGTTAGGTTAAGCCCCTTTCCAAACAGCTGACAAATGGACAATTTGTTGTTTTTTTTTTGGTATATTAGAAAATTATTGCAACATATACTCAATATATACTAACTATAAACGTAATATATACTGCCTATTCAATACACCTGAGTGAAGAAAAATTTTACTCGCTATAAATGCAACATATCGTTCGTTGTAGCTGCAAATTTTACGAAGAAAAAAACAATCCATATACCACCAGTAAAACACAGTTAAATAAATGACCAAAATAAAAAAATACATGAAACCAAATATTTCAGTCAAGTAAACAATACATATACCGTCAGTAGATTATTGCAACATTTACTGAATACATATTAAATATAATTGCAATATATACTGCTCATTCAAAACACTTGACAACTATGTGAATTACAATGAATTTTTCATTTATCTATCTTACACATAAGTTGGAATGATACGGTAATTGATTTTAGGCATGAATTAGACAAATCTTATCTTTTGGGTAAAGACGCAATTAATTGGATTTGCATAATAGATTACCAAATGTTTTCCAATTGTGTAGAAGACATAAAAAATTGGGAAAATTGCTCCCTACACAATAAATTTAAGTTTTTATTACAAAATTAAACATCTATTATAAATATTAGCAATTCTACCTAAAATAATGTTTTATTTGTAGATATACCAGAAAATCTCTCTTTTTCGTTTCTCTCTTCCCCTCCCTTACTCTTCTTTTTCGTTATCTCACATCTCTCTCTCTCTCTCTCTCTCTCTCTCTCTCTCTCTCTCTCT